ATATATACAGAGTGCAAAGTTTAGGAGTGTGCTACATACAGAGTGCAGAGTTCGGGAGCATGCTACATACAGAGTGCAGAGTTCAAGGTTGTGTTACACACAGAGTGCCGAGTTCAGAGGTGCGCTTTGTATAGAGTGCAGAGTTCAGGGTTACACTACACACAGAGAGCAGAGATCGGGGTGTGCTACACACAGAGAGCAGAGATCAGCCCTCTTCCAGAGATGTCAGACTCTGCTTTCCCCATCCACATCTCACTTTTGCCCCTCTTCAGCTCTGACTTCTGCACAAAACTGCCCTTTCACTGGCCCCATCTCCTCCCCCACTCCTTAAAAGCTTAACCATCTTCCACGTATCTTACTTTTGTTGCCATAGTAAGCTTCCAAACACCCACTTGTGTACTGAACAGCATCTCCTTTGTCCCTGTGGGAACTGCTCAGGAGATCCAATCTGTGGGAACTTCTGGGAGACAAGCTATCAGTTGGAGGCACAGAAAGTGGATTTCTTTGTTTACAAGTGATAGTGGTGAGCAGGGAGCAGAGTGGCGGGGCTTCCACCAAGTTCCAGCTGAAGAAAAGCCTTGCTTTTTTCACTGGCAACAAATGACTGAAGTATGATTATAAAAAGACTACTTGCATAACTGTAAGAGTGGCTTCAATACTTTTAAACTGTTGGCCCTTGAGCCTAAATAGATTAGGATTGCTGTAAGGATTTGCCGTTCAGACTTGGTTCTAGACGGATCTCTGGAAAATTCCATAGTATTGGTCAAAAACATTGAGTCCAAAACCATAATACACTTCTTAGCCTATGTCCCTGAGCTGAGTCTCAAGAGCCAGTAGAGAAACAAGCCCTACTGTCAGTGTGTACACTTCCTAGCATTAGAAGTTGAGAATGAGGGACGACCTAGAAAGGAGAACATATGCAGCACGCAGAATGTGCTGGGGTGAAAAGTGGGTATGGCTTAATAGTATGTAATGTACAGTAGTAAGCACTTTGCTATGTACAACACAGTATAAAATTCCACAGTCAGCAGTATATGTCCTAGTGACCTTTATATTCCTGGTCAGCAGGAGGAAAAGATGGCCAGCATCTGTGGTCAACTGGAAAAAATAAATGCTTGGCATTGATGGTCAAGGGGAGGAAAAACACTGGCATCAGTGGTGGGAAAAAATGCCCAATGCAGGGTGGACTGACTATTCGAGCACTCGGGCACTGCCCGAGATCCCAGGGTCAGTAGGGGGCCCCATGAGATGCTCCTGGTACCTTTCATTGGCTTTTTCATAGGCTTTTTTGGGTGTGGGCAAGGACACAAGGGCCCCATGATCCCCTGTTGCCCAGGGGCCCCATGAGTTGTCAGTCCTCCCCTGGCCTAGTGTTGGTGTTGTTGAAGAAAAAAAATACTTCAAAATCACTGATGAGAGGGAAGAGAAAGGCCAATGGTGGTGGTCATTGAAAGGAGAAATGCCTGGTGTTGGTAGGTAACAGCAGGAAAAATAAGCTCAGAGTCAGTTGCTAGTGGGAGGTAAAAAATACTCTGTGTCCTAGGTCACAGTAGGAAAAAAAATGCTTCACTTTGAAGAAAGAAGGGGCACTGGTGCTCATTGGAAAGGCGGGGGGGGGGGGGCATTGGTGCTCGCTGGGGGAGAGAGGGAACTTTGGTGCTCTGTGGTCGGAAGGGGGGCTGGGAATCTGTGGAGGGAGAAGGGGGGGGCACTTGCTCTGTGGTGGCAGAGAGAGGGCACTGGTTTTCTGTGTAGGAGGGGGGCCACCGATGTTCTTCAGAGGGAGAGGGAGAATTGGTGCTTGATGGCTTGATGGGGTTATGGTGGGGGACATAGGTGTCATTGGTGTGTCGTTGCCTCCCACTGCCGGAACTACAGTAAATGGCTTATGTTAGGTAGAAGATCACTTTTTTTTCCCAACAGAGCATAAAAGGAGCCTGAAGTGGAGTGCAGGAATGAGCATTGCAGCATTAGGCTGGCAGTGACGAGATATGTCTACAGTGCTACCCCTGCAGGAGCTGGTACACAGGTTCTTTTTCTAATCAATGTAGGGCAGCCAGGCACACAGCTGCCATCCATCCTCTCTGGCTCAGAAAACAGTTCAGGCATGTCTTTTTTCGTAAATGCTTGCTGGTAAAACTTGGGAGGGGGATCTGGGAGTGAAGCTGGGTACTCCAAAACAGAACAGATTGCTAATGGAGGACACATTTATCATGATAGCACAAGGAATCACCAAAGTGATATTAACCAGCTGGGACAGTCTATACGGGCACAGCTGGGAGCCATGCACCAAAATGTTAGAGCAAATATTACACAGCAGGAGACTGTGAAAACTTCAGTACAAGAGGGGAAACTTTACTCACTGGGTCCCAAAGCATACATAGTCCATGAGTATGGCCTCAAAGGTTTATTTTTCAGCCCAGGAATGCCCCATGGCAAGCAGTGCCTGGAGCTCATGGATCCATTTCCACACAAGGGGAAATACCCTCTTCTCTGGACTCCAGCCTATTTAACAGGAACCCCTGCATCATCTGAGCACACCTCCCCAGGGATTGGACAGGCCCTACTAAATATTTAGGCTGACAATTTGAATCCTCCTGCCCTAAACACCAGAAGCTTCTTCTAGAGTCAGGAGGAGGTAATCAAACTCCCAGCCTGCGGAGTCTTGAGCAGAACAAACTAAACGATTCTGGCTCCTATGACTACAGCAGAAGCCTCATACAAAATGTACCTAACAGCCTGCGTAACAGGGCACTACATGTTTACGAGATGATAGGCTTTCTGGTAGATCAACATATATTATTCTGTACTTGCAGGGTCCTAAAATAAAGGATCAAAACACAGGGAAATGTAAATGTATTACAAACGTATGCTTTGGGGCTGTTTCTCTCCGCAAAGGGACCAGGACGACTGATCCATGTACAGGACAGAATGAATGGGGCCATGTATCATGAGATTTTGAGTGCAAACCTCCTTCCATCAGCAAGGGCATTGAAGATGAAACGTGGCTGGGTCTTCCAACATGACAATGATCCCAAACATACCGCCCGGGCAACGGTGGCTTCGTAAGAAGCATTTCAAGGTCCTGGAGTGGCCTAGCAAGTCTCCAGATCTCCACCCCATAGAAAACCTTTGGAGGGAGTTGAAAGTCTGTGTTGCCCAGCTACAGCCCCACTGCTCTAGAGGAGATCTGCATGGAGGAATGGGCCAACATACCAGCAACAGTGTGTGCCAACCTTGTGAAGACTTACAGGAAACGTTTGACCTCTGTCATTGCCAACAAAGGATATATAACAAAGTATTGAGATTAACTTTTCATATTCACCAAATACTTATTTTCCAGCATAATTTGCAAATAAATTCTTTCCAAATCAGCCAATGTGATTGTCTGGATTTTTTTTCTCATTTTGTCTCTCATAGTTGAGGTCTACCTATGATGCCAATTACAGGCCTCTCTCATCTTTTTAAGTGGGAGAACTTGCACAATTGGTGGCTGACTAAATAATTTTTTGCCCCACTGTAATTTATGTTTTCTTTGCCTTGACATGATTTTAAAGCTGTTTAAACTGAGCCACATGTTTAGGCCTAGTAAAATCGAAACCTACTGTCACATACCTGGATAGTGAGCCTGACGTGAAGAGGCAGGCCTCCCGTACAACTCCGGCTCAAGGACCGCTGATGGTGGGACAGCGGTCGCAGGGGCACGGTGGGGTATGAGTGATTGTGATCAGTCCAGTAATAGCAGATGAGCTGATAAGCTGTAGGCAGGGAGCAGGGTTCTGATGTAGCCGTGCTGGATGGATGGATACTCGAGAGCAGCGTGCTGAGGATGCAGGGTCAGACCAGCCGGATTCAGTATCGGTCAGGCAGATCAGGCTTACAGCGGCAGGAGGAAGAGTAGTCAGGTCACAGGCCAGGTCAGCAACGGAAGATCAATCAGACAGGAGCGGAGACAGAAGAATAATCCAAGACAAGCCAGAGGTCAGGGCAGGAAGCAATCAAGCGGAGATCAGGAACAGGCGGGTTTGGTATCAGGAGACAATCACAGGAATCAGTGAACATGAGCAGGGAAAATACCATACGGCAATGGGACAACTACTGCAGCCAGTTTAAATAGCCCTTTTGGCGCCAGCATTAGTAACAGGCGTGCGCCCGTATGCCGAGTGCGCATGCGCACGCCTATGTCCAAGTGCCTGTACATCTGTTCGGTTTTGCAAGGACTCTGCGCATGCGCATATTTGTGCGCCGTGGAACTTCACCTGCACTATGGGCAGGCCTTTCCTGACACCTACAAACGAGTAACCTTGTATTTAACTGAAAAAAGTCAAGTCATGCAACTTTTTTTTTTTAATTTCCAAGAAATTCTAAGAAGGTAGGCTGATGTGCCTTGAAATATGTGATCAACCTTAAGAGTTGGTTCTGGCCAGCTCAGTGGATTGCTTTAAAAAAGGCCTGGATTCTTTCTTGGATATATAGAATATAACTGGATACTAACATTTATGGATAAAGTTGATCCAGGGAATATCCAATTGCCTCTCGGGGGATCAGGAAGGAAAATTTTCCCCTGCAGGAGCAAATTGGATCATGCTTTGCTGGGTTTTTTTTTGCCTTCCTCTGGAGCAACTTTTTTTTTTTTATGGTTGAACAGGATGGACTTTTGTCTTTTTTCAGCCAGACTAACTATGTAACTATGTATATGACAGAGGACTCCACTACCATCTGCCCAGTAATACCCCTACCCCTCTCCCATCCCAACATTCAAACTGTTACCTGTCCCTGCTAGCAGAACAGTGGATTCTAACAGCAGCAGCCAGTTTATATGTGAAGGGCACAGGCAGTGCTGGGACAAAGGCCGGGCAAGAGAAGCAGATGCCTCAGGTACAGTGTTTTTATATTGAAAGGTGGGTGCCGCCACTGAAATGTACAGCATTTGAGACAGGCTGTTGGCTTCCTTTTGATCTCGTAAATACAGTATATACCAGGGGCGGACTGACAACTCATGGGGCCCCCGGGCAATAGGGGATCATGGGGCCCCTGTGTCCTTGCCCAAACTCAAAAAAGCCTATGAAAAAGGTACCAGGGGCATCTCATGGGGCCCCCTACTGACCCCGGGCCCGAGTTTCCAAATGGTCAGTTCGCCCCTGGTATATACTGTAAATTAAACATATTTGTCATATATGTTTGATACAGTGCCTTGAAAAAGTATTGATACACCTTGAGATTTTCCACATTTTGTCATAAATGTATTTTAATGGGATTTTATGTGATAGACCAACACAAAGTGGCACATAATTGTGAAGTGGAAGGAAAATGATAAATGGTTTTCAAATTTTTTTACAAATAAATATCTGAAAAGTGTGGCGTGCATTTTCAACTTCTGCCTTTACAACCACATTAATTCCAGGTGTGACAATTTACCATAGTTACATTGGCCCAGCTTAGATCATGCAAATACTATATCTGTGGGATCCCCCTAGAAGCTGGAAATCACTGAAGAAGTCACCACTACTCCAATGGCCTCCACTTGCCTCCAGATACTGTGCAGAGTGGCTACTCACAGGAGGTCAGCCACTTGGCCCAGGTGCCATTTAAAGAATGCGTTTCATTTTCTCAATTAATGCAAAGCATTCTTTGGTTGGATAAAGTGGAGATCACGACATTGCAGTCCTGCCATTCTACTTCATCCAATCAGAGAATGTTTTGCATTCATTGAGAAAATGGCGCCCATGCCCAGCGATCTGCTGTGTTCATAGTGCAGCAGGGTATCTGCTCAGCACGGGACTTGGAAGCAAGTGGAGATCAATGGAGTAGCAGTGTCTACTAATAGCTTCTAGAGCAGGGGTGTCAAACTGGTGGCCCTCCAGCTGTTGCAAAACTACAAGTCCCATTATGCCTCTACCTTTGGGAGTCATTCTTGTAACTTGTCAGTCTTGCAATGCCTCATGGGACTTGTAGTTTGGCAATAGCTGGAGGGCCGCCAGTTTGACACCCGTGTTCTAGAGGGATCCCATGGGTCCACCAAGGTGGACCAAAGTAACTATGTAATCAATGCCATACCTGGAATTCTTCTTTAATGGCATGCTGACTTATGGGTAACATTATGGATGGTCTGGCATTGCACCCTAAACCACAAAAATATATATATATTTTTTTTTAAACACAAGGAACCATTAGGCATGCCATGTGCTTTGGGGTGTGCTGCAGCGTGGGTGCTTTGCCTATTACTGTAGTAGTGCATTATGGTGCCGTTGAAAATGAATTGCATACTAATACACCACACTTAATCCAATAATGCACATTTGTGTAATAATTGGGGTACTATGCCTTATCGCTGGATGCATGCAATTTTCAGGCTTGGCATATTTGGTATCTATTTACATGACAAAACGATATCTTTGATATTGTACCTGTAGCACCTTCCTACATAGGCGCTAGTATAAGTAGATATAGTTGGTTTCTCTGCTTAACCTCCCTAGCGGTCTGATTATGTCAGTATTTTTGTGCTGAAAGCGGTACATTTTTTTTTTGCATGGAAATATGTATTTTTTTTATTGTAGGCTGTAATTCTTAGGAATAACTCACTGAAATCTGTCCGAACAAGAGTCTAGTAAACATCCCGGGTATGTTAAAATTTGAAACACAAAATCATAAATTATAATTTAATAAATAATCATAAAAATAATAATAATATAAACAATAAATTTAATTCAATAATATAATCAAACCAAAAACACTGAAATATGAAACATAGCTCCAAGTTCGCACATCACTGAGCAAAGTCGCAAAATCGTTTTCAGTGTCTGACGAATTTCCCCACAAATCATTATCACTCAATTCTGCAAGTGGTTCTAATTTACTATCACTGTTCTCTAGCTGGTCTAAAATCAATTTTGACCTAAAGGGACGCTTTTTGGATGCCATGGACTTTTCTCAGTTTCCAGGCAGAAAGAACAGTAAAAATGCAGGCAGGGCGCAGGACAAAGCACTCGGGACAAAATGTGTGTGAAATGGTTTGATACAGTAATGTTATACTATGTGATTTTAGTGAGTTCAGTGAATGTCACTTTTTGTCATTTTCAAATTTCCCGCCGTTCCGTCCCCCGTACGTCCTGACGTCGCAGGGGACGGAACCCAGAAGACAGATGCTGGCATTGGCCGGAGGACATTACAGGGGACAGTGCAGGAGGGACATCACGGGAGCGCAGGACAAGGTAAAAGAAGAACAGATCCTGGAGCAACGCCACATGGTAAGCCCGAGTGCAGGGGCAGACTGACAACTCATGGGGCCCCCGGGCAATAGGGGATCATGGGGCCCCTGTGTCCTTGCCCAAACTCAAAAAAGCCTATGAAAAAGGTACCAGGGGCATCTCATGGGGCCCCCTACTGACCCCCGGGCCCTCGGGCAGTGCCCGAGTTTCCAAATGGTCAGTCCGCCCCTGCCCGAGTGTAGCTCGGGGTTACCGCTTGTGGTACTGAAACTTTACCCTGAGCTACACTCGGGAATACATCCAGGGAGGTTAACGGGAGAACTGTTAGGAAAATCTAATAAGGCTTTCTGCTTAACAGAGAGCTGCAATTGCTGGAAGTGGCTCCTCAATGTGTTTAAGTGCTGCTAGTTCTGCTCCTGACTTCCTCTGTATCCAAGCAACCTAGGAAGGTGGAACTCAAGCAGAACACAGTATGAATATTAATGCCACTCCAGCCAATCCCAAGGTGGGTTGCCCTGATGCTGGGAGAGGATATTTATTTGGGCACGCTGGGTCCTGGGTCTTTCTTGGAGAAAAGAGTTCCAGCCTTGGGAGGGCAGGCTACCTCCCCAGGCACCTGCTGCCATGCGGCCTCTGGTGAGTGACCTGTGGCCTGAAGCAAGAGAGAGAGTTACCCTTGTTCTTCATAAAGCTGACTGAGGGAAGATGTCTGCTAAAGATCTGTCTGGTATCACTGGAGGGCATTGCTTGGAAGATTGGAAGGAGGCAACCATTCTGTCCTTGGGCCTTGTGAGTACCGACACTAAGTGATCTTGGGGGCGTTGTGCTTGGCTGCCTCTCTGGTGCTTTATAGGCAAGTGTGGATCTGTAAAAGGGGACACCGGGTGGTGTCCTGAAGAGCACTGTCCACTTAACACCTCCCTGACATCAGAACTTTGCTCAAGGCTGCTGAGGAAGCTGAGGAATTTCTGTCCTCAGCTATAATTAGTTCTATTCCTGAAGTATCCTACTAAATTCCCCTTCCCTATCCAAGTTCTCCAATAATAAGCCTACAAATACAACAACCCCTAGACTGATCATTGGAGACAATACGCGAAAGTATATGTGCACCTGGCTGTGAAACTACCTCGTACTTGGCTGCGGGGCAAAGTATAGGGAAGACCTGGACCTGGACATTACTAGAGCGGCTCCTACACCGTGTTCCAAATTATTATTCAAATGATATTTTAATCATTTACCTAAATAATTTATGTAAATAACAGTCAGCATAATTCTCATGTTATCAACTATTAAGAGTACAATTCACATTTTATTGAACAAACCTCCTAATGATAACAGGATTTTTTTTAAACATAAAAAACTTCCAATGCACTGTTCCAAATTATTCTGCACAGTAAGTTTCAAAACACTTTATAGGTTGTAAAGAACTGAAAATTGTCATTTGTTGTGTTTGCAGCATATTTACTGAAATCAAAAGCTATTTCAATCAAAATTTTAACAACATTTTAACTTTTTAAACATTTTAACAGGTCACGTTACATTGTAACATAGGACCCCTTATTTAATAGCAGCTTCACAAGTCTTGCATCCATTGAACTTGTGAGTTTTTGGACAGTTTCTGCTTGAATTTGTTTGCAAGATGTCTGAATAGCCTCCCATAGCCGCTGTTTGGATGTAAACTTCCTCCCACCCTCATAGATCTTTTGCTTGAGGATGCTCCAAAGGTTCTCAATAGGATTAAGGTCAGGGGAGGATGGAGGCCACACCATGACTTTCTCTCCTTTTATCCCCATAGCAGCCATTGATGCAGAGGTATTCTTTACAGCATGAGATGGTGCATTGTCATGCATGAAGATGATTTTATTACGGAAAGCATAGTTCTTCCTTCTGTACCAGGGAAGAAAGTGGTCAGTCATAAACTCCACATACTTTGCAGAGGTCATCTTTACACCTTCGGGGACCCTAAAGGGGCCGACCAGCTCTGTTCCTATGATTCCGGCCCAAAACATGACTCCACCGCCGCGTTGCTGACATTGCAGCCTTGTTGGAACAGGGTGGCCGTCCACCAACCATCCACTACTCCATCCATCTGGACCATCCAGGGTTGCACGGCACTCATCAGTGAACAGGACTGTTTGAAAATTAGTCTTCATGTATTTTCTGCCCAATGCAGCAGTTTCTGCTTGTGAGCATTGGTTAGTGGTGGCCGAATAGAAGGTTTATGCACAGTTGCAAGACTCTGGAGGACTCTACACCTTGATGTCCGTGGGACTCCAGAGGCACCAGCAGCTTCAAATATCTGTTTGCTGCTATGAAATGGTATTTTAGCAGCTGCTCTCTTGATCCGATGCATGGAACTGGCAGAAATCTTCCTCAATGTGCCTTTATCTGCATGAACCCGTCTGTGCTCTGAATCAGCCACAAATCTCTTTATAGTGCGATGATCACGCTTAAGTTTTCGTGAAATATCTAATGTTTTCATACCTCGTCCAAGGCATTGAACTATTTCACTCTTTTCGGCAGCAGAGAGATCCTTTTTCTTCCCCATATTGCTTGAAAATGGTGATCTGCTTAATAATGTGGAACACATTTTTCCTTAAATTGGGCTCACCTGCCAATCTAATTATCACAGGTGTCTGAGATTGTTTTCAGTGATCAAAAGAGCCCTGACACACAATGCCATCCATGAGTTACACTGAAAAACAAAATATTTAATCTTTGTGACACTTAAATAGAATTTGCATAGTAATTTGGAACAGGGTGTACAGGGGTAGCACTACATACTAAAAAATTGGGCATTATATTGTGTTTGCGTGCAAATAACTTTTGTGTATTTTTTACAGAAAATATTTATTTTGCAAACTGTTGTGCTAACATCGTGTGACATACAAAAACTGCAACTACCACCATTTTATTCTTCGGGGCCTTTTATTTCAGAAAATAGATCATGTTTTCAGCGGTTTGGGTCATCTTCAGCCCTAAAATGTGCACTTTAACCATTAGCCGCCCGGCCTATAGCCGTTTGGCGGCCGCAAAAATGCTCTAGCTTTCCGGGTGCACGCCATTTGGCATCCTCCCGCACATGCGCAGTTCGTGCGGTTGCAGAGCCGCGCAGCGGCGCGATCTGTCACCGGCCGTGTACCTCGGACACGGCCGATGACAGATCTGAGTACCGGCCCCCGTTGCTGGTACCATGTGACCTGCTGTGACCAATCACAGCAGGTCACATGACAGTTGTATACAATGGATGGCTTCATTCATGCCATCCATTGTATACTAGTGCCTAGCTGTGAATGGTCACAGCAGGTCACATGCACATGTCATGTGATTAGCTGTGGCCAAATCACAGCTAAGCACAAAAAAAAAAAAACCTGAATGAATCCATGTCATTCAGGTAAATTCTTGCTTATAGCAAAGTAATTCTTTGCTATAAGCAAATTGTGTAAAAAAAAAAAAAATACTGATCACTTCCCCAAAGTAGTACAATGTTACTATGGTAACATTGTACTACTTTGGTCATAGTAAAATATTAAAAAGAAATCTTAAAAAAAATAAAAAAAAATGTAATAAAAAATTAATAATAATAAAAAAAAAATAAAAAAAATATATATATATATCATTTTTTTTCATACTGTCACCAGTCAGTGTCCCTGATCACCGCCATGCCAGTTATATGATGACGCTGTACTGCACTGGTGACAGTATATAAAAAAAAATTAGTGAAAATAATTTTTTTCATTTTCCGAAAAATTATGACAAAAAAAATACAACTTCAAAAAACTCACCATTCCTCTTATGAAATACGTCGGACTGTCTACTCTGCAAAAAGGGGTCATTTGGGGGATATCTGTACTATTCTGACATTCTTGGACCTCAAAAAATTAGATTGGCCGTCAGTACTTCAGGATTGATCAATATTCAGATCTATACCATAGTTTGTGAACTCTATAACTTTCCTACAGACTAAATAATACATCCTAATTTGGGTTATTTTCACCAAAGACATGTAGTAGAATACATCTTTGGCCTAAATTTATGAAGAACAATTATTTATTTGTAAACTTTTATAACAGAAACAAAGAAAAACGTGTTTTTTTTTCAAAATTTTTTTGTTAATTTAGCAAAAAATAAAAACCCCAGCGGTGATTAAATACCACCAAAAGAAAGCTCTAGTTGTATGAAGAAAATGATAAAATTTTAGTTTGGGTACAATGTTGTATGACCGCGCAATTGTCATTTAAAATGTGAGAGCGCTGAAACGTGAAAAATGGCCTGGGCAGGAAGGTGTAAAATTGCCCGGTATTGAAATGGTTAACATGTATGCATAAATGACTCTGGCAGTGAAAGGGACAAGGCTCATGTTCCCCCTGTGGGCATGTCGAAGGCGTGGCTGTGACGTCCACCCAGGAAGGGATATAAGTGTCAGTGTCCTGGTGTGGAGGCACCGTAGCTCTCATGTCGATCAGAAGAGAGCAATGGGAAGAATTATTTTTGCGTCGTTGATATTGTTGTTAAACATCACGCCAGGTCCGTATGTTACTTACTACAGTACTTGTATGGGGTTTGTCTCGTGTGTTATGTAGACCTTCATGGGGTCGGTTTAAACATTGCAGCAGGCCAGTGTGTTTACCTTCCACGGTACTTGGCTCGTGCGTTGTGTAGGCCTCGACGGGGTCGTTTACAATTGTCAGAACATAAATGTTATTCTGATTGCTGGCTTAGCTTGGCAGCATGTGGGACGTTTACATTCTTTGTGAGTGTTCAATCCAGAGCAGCGCAATCAGAGTTATCAGGCAGCTGCAGACAGAGGATTTTCCTGTTTATCTTCCTTTTTCATGCATTCTCAGCACTTTTGCTGTACGAGAGCACACAGCTCAAATATCATGAGGCCCGTAGTGGGCTAATACAGATTAAGGCCTTGTTTACATGTGCCGCGGTGTTTGAAAAAGCAATCTGCAATGGATCACTTTTCAGAGGCATTTGACTGGGGGCATCTCCTATATGCCTGTTTTACCTACTAAAAGCCTGCAGGACCACACAGTGACTACATTCTGTTGCGATGTGGTCCCGTGTACACCTGCCAAAACATGACAGGTTGTAACATTTTTACCATTTTGGCATGGGGCATGGTGGTCAGGGAGTGGGAAAAACCACAGATCAACCACCTGTGGTTACCGTCCCTCAGTTGTTTGAGGTCAACTATCCACAAATCCACCAATTACAGTTAACCAT